GTTTTGGATTTTGATTTAAACCCCCGATTAAAGGTGATTTAATTAAGTAGTGGGAGCGTTACCGGAAGATTGATGTCGGAGATTTGTCCAGGTGATATCTCCATATTCTCATCAGCTTCTGCTCCCACAAGATTCTTCTCCATCTGTAACATAATTATAGGTCAAAACCACTATTCATTATTCACTTTCCCCTTTTTTCGCTTATGTGATTATTTATTACCTAAGGAATATTATTTTCTTGTATACCACCAAATAAAACTAACCACGATCAAAAATTTATATACCATCAATCTTGCTTTCCATAGTTATCGAGGTTTTTCTCCAGGTCATAATTAACCTTAACAAGTAAAATATGACTAGATACTTGTACCGAACCAATCGAATCCCAACCTAATTCATAACAAAAGAACCAAAACGGTTCCATAAATCCCAAACCAAACCAAACCAAATTAAAACCAGTGTCCAACAACGGGAAAAGAGACTTTAACTTTAGTAAATGATATAGTCATGAACTTATACTTTTCCCAACCCCTTTATTTCTTTCCAAATTCTGGCTTCATTCGATATACAATAGAATAGGGAGAAAATATCAGACTCCATCTTTCTAAATTAAAGAAATAGACCATTTTCTGGTTGTAGGGTTAAAGATTTTTCCTTTTAAATGTTAAGGTTTATGATAGATTTTACTTTTAGGGTTTAGGGTTAGAATTTACACTATCTTGTTAATTTATAGTACTATTTTTCATAATTTTGCTACAACTTTGGAGTCTTTCCATAACTCACGAGTTGAGTAAACAAATCAATCAAAAAGGAGCATTTCCAGAAGAAGATGCCATTCATTTGATGAGAAATAAAAGGAAATATCGAAAATTCTACCATTTTATCAATAGATCACCAACTACTAATGATTTTTTTGGTCTAATTTTAGTTTCACCTTTTTTTTTCTTCCTAAAACCTAAATTAAAAACCAAATCAAAAAAATTCTTAACTAAATCCAGACCAATCAAATTTTGGTTTTCATTCAGTAATTTTCTCACCAAACCGAATAAACTATATATCGATCCATTAACCGAATGCCCTAACCTTCATTAGATTTTTTTAGAATAAAAGACAGGGAAGTTCTAACTATTCAGTGCCTAAAAGTGCAATGTCTATTTGTATGTATGATCTGCAGGTATTAGAGTGCGTATCGTTTTCCATGTATATGTGCAAGAAGTGCTTAATAGCTTATGCAAATTTACAAAAAATGTAGCTTTCATTACCTGGCTAGCCAAAACCAGGTTCTCTTCTTTCAGCACCTTCTCCTGGTTTTGAAGATCAACATGTTTATCAATTACCAGTCAAATTTCTTAACCTAACTTCAGATTCTGGAATCTAAAACATTTGCATCATACCCCAGAAGACTAGATGCATCAGGAAGAAGTTCGAAATAGAGTTGTGAGCTCATGAAGCAGACTTATAAGAGAAACTAAGACAACACACAAGAGAAGACACAAAAAGTGCTATAAACTTGGAAGCAAATCTCTAACCTGTTCTTTAAGGCTCTCAACAAGCTTCAACATCAGTTCTGTCTGCAACAAAATAAATATAAGCCCACGGTTGTTCTCGACAAGCAAACTAAGAAAAGAGAAGAATATATGGAATCAACGTACCTTCTTAGCTCTAGTTACGGAGAGGGCAGTTTCAAGGTGTTCCTCCAGCTGAATGAGGGTATCGACGCTTACATTTTTGACATTTGATTCCACGAGCTTGCTGCATATATTCATAGATTAACAAGAAACCCTAATTCCTTTGTGATCAAAGGAGGAGAGCAAAAATCATCTTAGTTAGTACTAACCTTTCCACAAGTTCTAGTAGCTCATGGTGTGAACCATAGCTCAGAGCTTTTGACTGAAGATCCTGTCCATGGAGAAGGGACAGAAAAGGCGGTAAAAGATAATGGCTTTGAGAACTTGGGTAATGGTAGGCATGTGGATCCACCACCTCATATATATATGACCATTTGGAAAACTATCAGCTTATAGGTGGATCAATAAAACAATACCTCTATATACATCTCCGCAATGCTAAACTAATAGCTCACAGGTGGATCAATAACGCAATACCTCTATCTAGTTCTCCGTAACGCAAAAAGATCTCCACATCGCAAAGGTGCTAAACATGCGTTTACTCATGTCTATAGAACATTTATTACTAATTATGGTGCACAAATCTTTCCACAACCTATTTGATGAACTTGAGCGGGAAAACTTTGATAACTACAGCTCCAACTATATGTGCAAACATCATATGCGCTAAAACTCGAGGCTGTGAATTGGCTCTGACCAGTACGAAACTCTCTAGGCCTTTAGTAAATCTATGCCTTAAACATTGCATCAGGGAAAAAATTCAAAATACTTGTTTTACCAGGGCTTTGAGATCATCTTCACATTGTTTTCCATATCGATCAAGGATCTTGACCAGGCTAGAGAGAAAGACAATAAAAAATCAAAATATGTTAGGGTCAAAACTACTAGCTAACCCTTGAAAGCACTGGATACAATGAAAAATGTATATGGCATCAAAAGAGATATTTAGAGACAGACGAAACGTTAATATTCACAGATACAACACCCTAGTTGTAGTTAACATTTTCAGAAAACTGTAGTCTTAGTATTCATGTTTAAGCACCAGCATCTGGATTTTCACTTCTTATTTATTAACTTGTTTTTTTATAACATGTTAATTAATATACCAAAGGAACGAATTCGTTACATAAGCTTGGCGAAGCTAAGAAGTTTCAAAAGGCCCAAAAAAAGATAAAAAGCCTAATTGAAACCGGGTGAAAGATCTCATAAACAATCAAGAGAGCTATTACTCATATGTGAACCATAACGAGAGGAGAGTCGAATAGTTCTTGGTAAAGACGGCCAAGAATAATGTCCTTGACGCATCTATTGATCAACTTGAACATATTTTTATGTTCTGATATTTTGACGCATCTATTTATTAACTTGTTCTGATACTCTTACCAAATTTGGATGATCATATCTCTCAAGAAAACAAAAAAAAGCTCTGAAGAATTGCTAGTAGTTTGATTATCCAACGATTTTTGTGGGTTTACATATTGTAATTATGATATACTTGGACAGCTTGAAAAGGACATTCTTCCTCAAGGGAAAGTCATTATAAAATTTTAAGTCAACACATGTCGTCCTTTAGCCTATTCATTCATTTCTAGCGCTGGCTTTGATTCACTTAAAGTGAAACTAATTAATATTGTACATAAAAACCCTTATCTCAAGTGAAACACTTTGTTTTGGTCTGTAATCCCCTGATTGTTTACATGTTTTAATAATGGAAACGCAACCAAAAACATAAACGCAAACAAACAATCGAGGGTTAAGAGTG